ACCATCTCTGCAGCCTGTTTAAGTCCTCTTGGAGGATCCTACAATCCTCGTCTGTCACAACTCTTCTCATTAATTTTGCGTCATCCGCAAACATTGACATGTATGATTCCACTCCTGTAAACATATCATTTACGTAAATTAGAAAGAGGATTGGTCCCAGCACCGATCCTTGAGGTACTCCACTTGTTACTGTTCGCCAGTCCGACTTCTCGCCCCTTACCATTACCCTCTGGCTCCTTCCTGTTAGGTAGTTCTTCACCCATACTAGGGCCTTTCCGCTTACTCCTGCCTGCCTCTCAAGTTTGTATAGCAGTCTCATGTGCGGTACCGTATCAAAGGCCTTTTGGCAGTCAAGAAATATGCAGTCTGCCCAGCCTTCTCTGTCCTGCCTTATCCTTGTTACTTTATCATAGAATTCTAAAAGGTTTGTTAGGCATGATTTCCCTGTCCAGAACCCATGTTGGTGCTTGTTTACAAACCCAATGCTCTCCAGGTGCTCAACAAGTCTTAGCCTAATTATTCTTTCAAGTATTTTGCAGGGGATGCTTGTCAGTGATACGGGTCTGTAGTTAAGTGCCTCCTCCCTATCACCTTTTTTGAAAATCGGTACGACATTTGCCTCCTTCCAGCAACTGGGCAATTCTCCCGACATAAGTGACTCATTAAAGATCATTGCCAGAGGACGCTGAGAGCCTGCGCTGCCTCTTTAAGTATCCACGGTGATACTTTGTCTGGTCCAACAGCTTTATTTGCATCCAGTGTTGTCAACTGTTTCATTACATCCTCTGCTGTCACCTTATATCTGATAGTCTTTCATCTTGGGTAATCTCTTCTAACAATGGGAGCTGCTCAGGCTCGGTTGTGAACACTCCATGGAATTTTGCATTCAGTACCTCGCAGATTTCCTTGTCGCTTTCTGTATATGCCCCTTCTGTTTTCCTCAGTCTTGTCACTTGGTCATTTACCGATATCTTCCTTCTTATATGGCTATGTAGTAATGGTTTGTGTGTGTGTGTGTGTGTGTGTGTGTGTGTGTGAACCAGTACAACTAAGTATTGACATACATACAACCAGACATAGAACCAAGTCACAATTACCTCTGGCCAGGCAGAGTACAGTACCGTGTAACGACTAGATGAACACTGACATTAACAATAAACAAATATAAAACATTGATGCAAAATTACTAAAAAATAATAACGCTAGAAATTGTTATATTACATTACAAATCAAATTAAAACAACAAAATTATTAAATAAGTAATATATAATAAGGAAACTAATGAAAATAAATATATTTCAGTAGAGAATTAAAATGTCCCTCTGGAGGGTGTGAAGAGGGAAGAGAGCTTAAAGATCTCACTTAAGTTCAACACGAGTGAGAAAGTTCGTAATTCCAACTTGTGCATCAGGAGGTGAGGTCGTGAGTGGGAAACTCCAACTGTGAGGCGAAAAGTAAAGAGATTGTCTCTTGATAAAGTGAAGACGATTGTCTGTGCAATGGCAGCAAGTGTGAGTGAGAGGCACAGAGCCAGCTTCCTCACGACCCCGGGAGGTGCACGACGATAAGTATCGGCGACACAGAGAACTTGATTTAGGGGCAGAAGCCACAGTCAAACTCAGCCATGGAAGTAATAACTTTCTTATTATGGCGCTGAGTCAGAGGCTATCCATTGTCTCTTCTCAGTAGGTTACCCCTCGTATATTCTCAAAGAAAATGGAGGTTTTCATAATACGTAATATCAAGGACGCCTTATTTTTGACACAAAAACAAATCCAGCCTAGACGCGGCCCACACAAAGTTTATTATTTCCTGAGGCTGAAGATTTACACTCATCTCGGTAAATAAGACCACCTATAGGAACTCGTCGCCCAAACGTACAAAAATGCATGGTTGGACTAACTAAAAGTTCAGGATTTATATCACTATTGCTCAAAGGGAATTCTAAAAAATGTAAATGTAACTGAAGAACTTAACCTAACCTGTCTAAGCAATACTAGGCCTAACATTTGCAATCATCGGCTTAGTATAGTACATCTGTGTACTAGGCCTTGCAATGTTGAATTCTCGTGGCTTCTTCAAAGTAAATAGTACAAAACTTGAACTTTATTGGCCCAACGGTCCATTTTTGTACTCTTCAAGTACATGTACACATTTTTGTATATGCAATAAGTACTAATATTTTAGGAGGATAGATGGAGAGGGCGCCTGACAGCTAAGTGGACAGCGCTTCGGATTCGTTGTCTTGAGGTTCCAGGTTCGATCCCCGGTGGAGGCGGAGACAAATGAACAAAATGTTCCTTTCACCCTGATGCCCTTGTTACCTAGCAGTAAACAAGTACCTGGGAGTTGGACAGCTGCTGCGGGCTGCTTCCTGCGGGTGTGTAACAAAAAGGTAGCCTGGTCGAGGACCGGGCCGCGGGGACGCTAAGCCCCGAACTCATCTCAAGATAACCTAAAGAAGATCTGGATTGGTGTTGGGATTCAGGATGATCACCAGAGTTTACGAAGACAACCACAACAGTTTACTAAGACAACAACAACAGTTTACTAAGACAACCACAACAGTTTACTAAGACAACCACAACAGTTTACTAAGACAACCACAACAGTTTACTAAGACAACCACAACAGTTTACTAAGACAACCACAACAGTTTACTTGGACAACCACAACAGTTTACTAAGACAACCACAACAGTTTACTAAGACAACCACAACAGTTTACTAAGACAACCACAACAGTTTACTAAGACAACCACAACAGTTTACTAAGACAACAACAACAGTTTACTAGGACAACCACAACAGTTTACTGCCCCTCCCATCAAGTGAACTGACGTCATGAGCATAAAACTAAATTCTCAGTGTATATATATTCATAAGATGTATTACATTTTATTTATAAGATGAATACATCTTATACAGTGCATAAGATTCACAACGCTTAAGATGTAAACCTTGTGTTAAGTTGTCTGGTTGTGTTAAACTCTTGGGAGACGCCTCTGATGCTTGTGTTAACTTCCGAGTCATCTGTGTTAGTCGTGTATTGATGTGTGATCATTTTCAGTAATTCATTGTCTAATAAAATTATAATCAAAATTATCTTATTCATTATAACAGTCTAATAAAAAAATTGTGTGCAGTTCATGTCTTTCAATGCATTGTGGGCCATCTAGTATATATCGTATATATTATATACTCATTGTGGGCCATCTAGTATATATCGTATATATTATATACTCATTGTGGGCCATCTAGTATACATCATGTATATTATATACTCATTGTGGGCCATCTAGTATATATCGTATATATTATATACTCATTGTGGGCCATCTAGTATATATCGTATATATTATATACTCATTGTGGGCCATCTAGTATACATCATGTATATTATATACTCATTGTGGGCCATCTAGTATATATCATGTACATTATATACTAATTTATGTTTAGAATCAAGATCATAAAACTCCCGTTTGGTATAGCTTAATATAAAATTATATTTTTTCCTGCAATATTTGGACTCATTTCTATAATAAATTGTTATAATATATGCATCAAGAGATGTATCTCCCTTATTCAGGTATATGGAGTCTTGGACTATAGTCAGGTGAACATAGTACGATATTTTTACCAAACTTTTCATAACTGTTCAGTGGGTATAAAATTATGTTACTTTTATCCATAACTATATTTTTTTTATTTAACCTGCCACATCAAAGAGATTGTTGTACACTTGAAGCTCAAGGCCAAATCTGGATAGCAGCTGCTCTTATTCCGAAAATTCTGATAAAATATTATGGTCTTGAACTCGCGCCATTGGACTCCCGGGACTCGCGCACAGCACACTGTGGAGGTGACAAGCACCATCAGGCAACCACAACCAGAATATCTACTAGACATATGGAGGTGGCAAGCACCATCCGGCCCCTACCACCAGAATATCTACCAGACATGTGGAGGCGGCAAGCACTATCCGGCCTCCACAACCAGAATATCTACTAGACATGTGGAGGTGGCAAGCACCATCCGGCCCCTACCACCAGAATATCTACCAGACATGTGGAGGCAGCAAGCACTATCCGGCCTCCACAACCAGAATATCTACTAGACATGTGGAGGTGGCAAGCACCATCCGGCCCCTACCACCAGAATATCTACTAGACATGTGGAGGTGGCAAGCACCATCCGGCCTCCACAACCAGGATAAAGTAGCAACCTTGGTATATATAAAAGAGACATGAAATTAATAATCACAGTTTGAGAGCTCCTGGACCAGTCAAAAAAAATAATTTGCCTTTGATATTGATAATGGAGTTACGTTCTTAATATTGGATGATATGAATGCTGGCAGTAATTATGTTTACTTTTTTGTATTGTTTATCAGATGAGATTACAATTCTATTATTTAAGTTACAAGGACCATTCAAGGAGGACATAAAACGATGAGAATTTAGAGTCATGAAAAACGTAGTATGAGAGATTCAATGCATTTCAGAAGGAAGGTGTCGTCTGTAGTCAATATAGCAGGAGTGCTGTTAGTCAATGTAACTAATTGTACCTTATTCCTAGTTGTACCCAGTAATCCGTGTTCATTATTGTGTATTGTTATTATTGCGTATTATTCTAATCTGCTTTTTGTGTCAAAATTTCTTGCAATGTGCCTGTAAACAATTTTTTTCATATTTTACTGAAAAATTTAATTTACTGTTTACTTAAAATCATCTGTACCTGTAAAGTAAAGCTGTAAAGTACCTGTAATTTTTTTTGTTGTAAATTTTACTGTTAATTATCTAAAATTATCTGTTAGTTTAAGGACTTGCCCGATACGCAATGCGTGCTAGTGTCTTTACAAGAATGTAATTTCAACTTGAACTCTGTGTTCTCTGTTAACCCCCAATGTACCTTCTGGTATATACCCTATATAAATAAATAAATAAAATAAATAAATAACAGGAGTGCAGTTACTCATTACAACAGGAGTGTTAGTGTTTATATTGTTATATTGCTCTCATTGTTGAGTGCTGACGTGACTCTTGAGTCATTGTTGAGTGCTGACGTGACTCTTGAGTCATTGTTGAGTGCTGACGTGACTCTTGAGTCATTGTTGAGTGCTGACGTGACTCTTGAGTCATTGTTGAGTGCTGACGTGACTCTTGAGTCATTGTTGAGTGCTGACGTGACTCTTGAGTCATTGTTGAGTGTTGACGTGACTCTTGAGTCATTGTTGAGTGCTGACGTGACTCTTGAGTCATTGTTGAGTGCTGACGTGACTCTTGAGTCATTGTTGAGTGTTGACGTGACTCTTGAGTCATTGTTGAGTGCTGATGTGACTCTTGAGTCATTGTTGAGTGCTGACGTGACTCTTGAGTCATTGTTGAGTGCTGACGTGACTCTTGAGTCATTGTTGAGTGCTGACGTGACTCTTGAGTCATTGTTGAGTGCTGACGTGACTCTTGAGTCATTGTTGAGTGTTGACGTGACTCTTGAGTCATTGTTGAGTGCTGACGTGACTCTTGAGTCATTGTTGAGTGCTGACGTGACTCTTGAGTCATTGTTGAGTGTTGACGTGACTCTTGAGTCATTGTTGAGTGCTGACGTGACTCTTGAGTCATTGTTGAGTGCTGACGTGACTCTTGAGTCATTGTTGAGTGCTGACGTGACTCTTGAGTCATTGTTGAGTGTTGACGTGACTCTTGAGTCATTGTTGAGTGCTGACGTGACTCTTGAGTCATTGTTGAGTGCTGACGTGACTCTTGAGTCATTGTTGAGTGTTGACGTGACTCTTGAGTCATTGTTGAGTGCTGATGTGACTCTTGAGTCATTGTTGAGTGCTGACGTGACTCTTGAGTCATTGTTGAGTGCTGACGTGACTCTTGAGTCATTGTTGAGTGCTGACGTGACTCTTGAGTCATTGTTGAGTGCTGACGTGACTCTTGAGTCATTGTTGAGTGCTGACGTGACTCTTGAGTCATTGTTGAGTGCTGACGTGACTCTTGAGTCATTGTTGAGTGCTGACGTGACTCTTGAGTCATTGTTGAGTGCTGACGTGACTCTTGAGTCATTGTTGAGTGCTGACGTGACTCTTGAGTCATTGTTGAGTGCTGACGTGACTCTTGAGTCATTGTTGAGTGCTGACGTGACTCTTGAGTCATTGTTAAGTGTTGACGTGACTCTTGAGTCATTGTTGAGTGCTGACGTGACTCTTGAGTCATTGTTGAGTGCTGACGTGACTCTTGAGTCATTGTTGAGTGCTGACGTGACTCTTGAGTCATTGTTGAGTGCTGACGTGACTCTTGAGTCATTGTTAAGTGTTGATGTGACTCTTGAGTCATTGTTAAGTGCTGATGTGACTCTTGAGTCATTGTTGAGTGCTGACGTGACTCTTGAGTCATTGTTAAGTGTTGATGTGACTCTTGAGTCATTGTTAAGTGTTGATGTGACTCTTGAGTCATTGTTAAGTGTTGATGTGACTCTTGAGTCATTGTTGAGTGCTGACGTGACTCTTGAGTCATTGTTGAGTGCTGACGTGACTCTTGAGTCATTGTTGAGTGCTGACGTGACTCTTGAGTCATTGTTAAGTGTTGATGTGACTCTTGAGTCATTGTTAAGTGCTGATGTGACTCTTGAGTCATTGTTGAGTGCTGACGTGACTCTTGAGTCATTGTTGAGTGCTGACGTGACTCTTGAGTCATTGTTGAGTGCTGACGTGACTCTTGAGTCATTGTTGAGTGCTGACGTGACTCTTGAGTCATTGTTGAGTGCTGACGTGACTCTTGAGTCATTGTTGAGTGCTGACGTGACTCTTGAGTCATTGTTGAGTGTTGACGTGACTCTTGAGTCATTGTTGAGTGCTGACGTGACTCTTGAGTCATTGTTGAGTGCTGACGTGACTCTTGAGTCATTGTTGAGTGTTGACGTGACTCTTGAGTCATTGTTGAGTGCTGATGTGACTCTTGAGTCATTGTTGAGTGCTGACGTGACTCTTGAGTCATTGTTGAGTGCTGACGTGACTCTTGAGTCATTGTTGAGTGCTGACGTGACTCTTGAGTCATTGTTGAGTGCTGACGTGACTCTTGAGTCATTGTTGAGTGCTGACGTGACTCTTGAGTCATTGTTGAGTGCTGACGTGACTCTTGAGTCATTGTTGAGTGCTGACGTGACTCTTGAGTCATTGTTGAGTGCTGACGTGACTCTTGAGTCATTGTTGAGTGCTGACGTGACTCTTGAGTCATTGTTGAGTGCTGACGTGACTCTTGAGTCATTGTTGAGTGCTGACGTGACTCTTGAGTCATTGTTAAGTGTTGACGTGACTCTTGAGTCATTGTTGAGTGCTGACGTGACTCTTGAGTCATTGTTGAGTGCTGACGTGACTCTTGAGTCATTGTTGAGTGCTGACGTGACTCTTGAGTCATTGTTGAGTGCTGACGTGACTCTTGAGTCATTGTTAAGTGTTGATGTGACTCTTGAGTCATTGTTAAGTGCTGATGTGACTCTTGAGTCATTGTTGAGTGCTGACGTGACTCTTGAGTCATTGTTAAGTGTTGATGTGACTCTTGAGTCATTGTTAAGTGTTGATGTGACTCTTGAGTCATTGTTAAGTGTTGATGTGACTCTTGAGTCATTGTTGAGTGCTGACGTGACTCTTGAGTCATTGTTGAGTGCTGACGTGACTCTTGAGTCATTGTTGAGTGCTGACGTGACTCTTGAGTCATTGTTAAGTGTTGATGTGACTCTTGAGTCATTGTTAAGTGCTGATGTGACTCTTGAGTCATTGTTGAGTGCTGACGTGACTCTTGAGTCATTGTTAAGTGTTGATGTGACTCTTGAGTCATTGTTAAGTGTTGATGTGACTCTTGAGTCATTGTTAAGAGTTGATGTGACTCTTGAGTCATTGTTAAGTGCTGATGTGACTCTTGAGTCATTGTTAAGTGTTGATGTGACTCTTGAGTCACTGTTAAGTGTTGATGTGACTCTTGAGTCACTGTTAAGTATTGATGTGACTCTTGAGTCACTGTTAAGTTCTGATGTGACTCTTGAGTCACTGTTAAGTATTGATGTGACTCTTGAGTCACTGTTAAGTGTTGATGTGACTCTTGAGTCATTGTTAAGTGTTGATGTGACTCTTGAGTCACTGTTAAGTGTTGATGTGACTCTTGAGTCACTGTTAAGTGTTGACTACGGGCTCACCATAGCCCGTGCTACTTGCCCCGCTCCTGTGCCAGGTAAGTCCACTACGGGCTCACCATAGCCCGTGCTACTTGCCCCGCTCCTGTGCCAGGTAAGTCCACTACGGGCTCACCATAGCCCGTGCTACTTGCCCCGCTCCTGTGCCAGGTAAGTCCACTACGGGCTCACCATAGCCCGTGCTACTTGCCCCGCTCCTGTGCCAGGTAAGTCCACTACGGGCTCACCATAGCCCGTGCTACTTGCCCCGCTCCTGTGCCAGGTAAGTCCACTACGGGCTCACCATAGCCCGTGCTACTTGCCCCGCTCCTGTGCCAGGTAAGTCCACTACGGGCTCACCATAGCCCGTGCTACTTGCCCCGCTCCAGTGCCAGGTAAGTCCACTACGGGCTCACCATAGCCCGTGCTACTTGCTCCGCTCCAGTGCCAGGTAAGTCCACTACGGGCTCACCATAGCCCGTGCTACTTGCCCCGCTCCTGTGCCAGGTAAGTCCACTGCGGGCTCACCATAGCCCGTGCTACTTGCCGCTCCTGTGCCAGATAAGTCCACTACGGGCTCACCATAGCCCGTGCTACTTGCCCCGCTCCTGTGCCAGGTAAGTCCACTACGGGCTCACCATAGCCCGTGCTACTTGCCCCGCTCCTGTGCCAGGTAAGTCCACTACGGGCTCACCATAGCCCGTGCTACTTGTCGCTCCTGTGCCAGGTAAGTCCACTACGGGCTCACCATAGCCCGTGCTACTTGCCGCTCCTGTGCCAGATAAGTCCACTACGGGCTCACCATAGCCCGTGCTACTTGCCGCTCCTGTGCCAGGTAAGTCCACTACGGGCTCACCATAGCCCGTGCTACTTGCCCCGCTCCTGTGCCAGGTAAGTCCACTACGGGCTCACCATAGCCCGTGCTACTTGCCGCTCCTGTGCCAGGTAAGTCCACTACGGGCTCACCATAGCCCGTGCTACTTGCCCGCTCCTGTGCCAGGTAAGTCCACTACGGGCTCACCATAGCCCGTGCTACTTGCCGCTCCTGTGCCAGGTAAGTCCACTACGGGCTCACCATAGCCCGTGCTACTTGTCCCGCTCCTGTGCCAGGTAAGTCCACTACGGGCTCACCATAGCCCGTGCTACTTGCCCCGCTCCTGTGCCAGGTAAGTCCACTACGGGCTCACCATAGCCCGTGCTACTTGCCCCGCTCCTGTGCCAGGTAAGTCCACTACGGGCTCACCATAGCCCGTGCTACTTGCCGCTCCTGTGCCAGGTAAGTCCACTACGGGCTCACCATAGCCCGTGCTACTTGCCGCTCCTGTGCCAGGTAAGTCCACTACGGGCTCACCATAGCCCGTGCTACTTGCCCCGCTCCTGTGCCAGGTAAGTCCACTACGGGCTCACCATAGCCCGTGCTACTTGCCGCTCCTGTGCCAGGTAAGTCCACTACGGGCTCACCATAGCCCGTGCTACTTGCCCCGCTCCTGTGCCAGGTAAGTCCACTACGGGCTCACCATAGCCCGTGCTACTTGCCCCGCTCCTGTGCCAGGTAAGTCCACTACGGGCTCACCATAGCCCGTGCTACTTGCCCCGCTCCTGTGCCAGGTAAGTCCACTACGGGCTCACCATAGCCCGTGCTACTTGCCCCGCTCCTGTGCCAGGTAAGTCCACTACGGGCTCACCATAGCCCGTGCTACTTGCCCCGCTCCTGTGCCAGGTAAGTCCACTACGGGCTCACCATAGCCCGTGCTACTTGCCGCTCCTGTGCCAGGTAAGTCCACTACGGGCTCACCATAGCCCGTGCTACTTGCCCCGCTCCTGTGCCAGGTAAGTCCACTACGGGCTCACCATAGCCCGTGCTACTTGCCCCGCTCCTGTGCCAGGTAAGTCCACTACGGGCTCACCATAGCCCGTGCTACTTGCCCCGCTCCTGTGCCAGGTAAGTCCACCACGGGCTCACCATAGCCCGTGCTACTTGCCGCTCCTGTACCAGGTAAGTCCACCACGGGCTCACCATAGCCCGTGCTACTTGCCCCGCTCCTGTGCCAGGTAAGTCCACTACGGGCTCTCCATAGCCCGTGCTACTTGCCCCGCTCCTGTGCCAGGTAAGTCCACTACGGGCTCACCATAGCCCGTGCTACTTGCCCCGCTCCTGTGCCAGGTAAGTCCACTACGGGCTCACCATAGCCCGTGCTACTTGCCCCGCTCCTGTGCCAGGTAAGTCCACTACGGGCTCACCATAGCCCGTGCTACTTGCCCCGCTCCTGTGCCAGGTAAGTCCACTACGGGCTCACCATAGCCCGTGCTACTTGCCCCGCTCCTGTGCCAGGTAAGTCCACTACGGGCTCACCATAGCCCGTGCTACTTGCCCCGCTCCTGTGCCAGGTAAGTCCACTACGGGCTCACCATAGCCCGTGCTACTTGCCCCGCTCCTGTGCCAGGTAAGTCCACTACGGGCTCACCATAGCCCGTGCTACTTGCCCCGCTCCTGTGCCAGGTAAGTCCACCACGGGCTCACCATAGCCCGTGCTACTTGCCCCGCTCCTGTGCCAGGTAAGTCCACTACGGGCTCACCATAGCCCGTGCTACTTGCCCCGCTCCTGTGCCAGGTAAGTCCACTACGGGCTCACCATAGCCCGTGCTACTTGCCCCGCTCCTGTGCCAGGTAAGTCCACCACGGGCTCACCATAGCCCGTGCTACTTGCCCCGCTCCTGTGCCAGGTAAGTCCACCACGGGCTCACCATAGCCCGTGCTACTTGCCCCGCTCCTGTGCCAGGTAAGTCCACCACGGGCTCACCATAGCCCGTGCTACTTGCCCCGCTCCTGTGCCAGGTAAGTCCACCACGGGCTCACCATAGCCCGTGCTACTTGCCCCGCTCCTGTGCCAGGTAAGTCCACCACGGGCTCACCATAGCCCGTGCTACTTGCCCCGCTCCTGTGCCAGGTAAGTCCACTACGGGCTCACCATAGCCCGTGCTACTTGCCCCGCTCCTGTGCCAGGTAAGTCCACCACGGGCTCACCATAGCCCGTGCTACTTGCCCCGCTCCTGTGCCAGGTAAGTCCACCACGGGCTCACCATAGCCCGTGCTACTTGCCCCGCTCCTGTGCCAGGTAAGTCCACCACGGGCTCACCATAGCCCGTGCTACTTGCCCCGCTCCTGTCCTGTGCCAGGTAAGTCCACTACGGGCTCACCATAGCCCGTGCTACTTGCCCCGCTCCTGTGCCAGGTAAGTCCACTACGGGCTCACCATAGCCCGTGCTACTTGCCCCGCTCCTGTGCCAGGTAAGTCCACTACGGGCTCACCATAGCCCGTGCTACTTGCCCCGCTCCTGTGCCAGGTAAGTCCACCACGGGCTCACCATAGCCCGTGCTACTTGCTGACTAGTGAGGAATTCTTTTAAAATAAATGAAGCTGAAAAACAAACGTGAATATTCCTAGGCCTAGTATAGCACACATATGTACTTAGTTATTGTGTATTAGGCCAATGAAGGTTAGGTTAGTTTAGTTAGTCAAAGCAACACATGTAAAATATTGTTTTCCAGTTTGTCCAACTCAATAGTTCAGAGTTCTACTGTCAAATTTCGTATTACGTCGGTATGTATACTATGGTCATCATCGTTACTATAAGTACTACCAAAACATGAGGATGGGCTGAATAATGACATTGTGTATTAGACGGAGATATCTATTATATCTCTCTACCCGTCAATACGGAGATATCTATTATATCTCTCTACCCGTCAATACGGAGATATCTCCGTATAGACGGGTAGGACATGGTTATTATTTACAAAAATATGTTTCTAATTTCTGTCACTAACAGTAATATCCGAACCTTTATCATTACTTATACTAACACTTAGTTTGCGGGCTACTTCATGGCCAGATTCTCTAGTCGGTTAGGTTAGGTTAGGTTAGGTTAGGTTAGGTTAGGTTAGGTTAGGTTAGGTTAGGTTAGGTTAGGTTAGGTTAGGTTAGGTTAGGTTAGGTTATTTTTGAATTATGTAGCTACGGTCACGTGAATCCCCTACACAGCAGTGGAGCTGCCTTTTCCCCTCACCTTTAATGCCTCTACACTGGAAGTCCGCCTCTACACCAGCCCAGAGGAGTCATCAGTCCTCCCCCCCCCCCCCGGGGGGCCTGGCACGGCCTGCTGCGACTCTGAGACAAGCAGGGCGCTTCTGCTAACCGGTAGTTTGCCCACACAAACAAGCAGTTAGCCGCCTTCAACTAGCAGCAGTGCAAGGGGGTCCAATAGCAGCATATTTTTATTTATATGATGGAGAGCCATACCATCTTGGTTCAGTATAGCTGCGATACCACAACCCGTCACACTATACTTAAAATATTGGGATCCCTATTTTAAGGTGACAACTACTAGTAAGTACCAACCGTGAAGATATATTGAGAGCTTGAGACACTTGTCTCTGCTGGTATGGTGACATTGGCATCATAGTGGAGCTTTGTTCATCTCCGTAACAACAACACATTTCGAGTATTTGTTGTCCACATACACAAGACTGAGCAAGAACAGTATCTTGTTTTTGTCATTAGTGAATGTGATATTTTGTTAATAACCATTGATGGCCTATATAAAGGTCAGGGCGTCACTTACCAAGTGTTGGTGCTGAGGAAGTGTTGTCCTGGTGGAGCGGTCTGGGCCCCCTCGTCAAGTGTTGGTGCTGAGGAAGTGTTGTCCTGGTGGGGCGGTCTGGGCCCCCTTACCAAGTGTTGGTGCTGAGGAAGTGTTGTCCTGGTGGGGCGGTCTGGGCCCCCTCGTCAAGTGTTGGTGCTGAGGAAGTGTTGTCCT